AGAGTCTTTTGAGAGTGTTATCTATTGACATATGCACTATCATATGAGTGAAGTGATGGAGCATTGCGGGAGTTAGACGCTCTACTCACGTTGACTCACGTGGAGAACGTTGTCCAGATGAAAAGTCTGGAGAAGCTTAATTCTTGCTAAAAAGATCGTTATATGGTGTTACCGAGCCTCCTTATAAGACATCTCGGCATCGGACCATGCTGGGCTGTCGTCGCTGAGAAACGGCGACGGACACCGCGCTCTACTGCTCTCCAATTTCACAACTATTTTCGCGCTATGTTATTATTAGCAATGCCATACATCCGACGGAGATTTATACGGACTAAACTTTCCTTGTTGCTCTGCCCTACGGGCACTATTTGGTTCTAGAAAAAGGCATCTTTTAATATTTTTTCGGTAAATTACCGGCCACTAGACGTGCACTTAATTTTTGCATATGCCGCCAGATAGCATGCCTCAGGTGGACCGTCTAGAAGGCATTAGATAGCGTTCGACGATGTCCAGGTCGGTAATTGCCTGACATGTCACTCATGTGGCGTATCCATGGTGACCGGTCGGTAATTTGTGTTTTGAAATGCGAATCCGACTACACTAGTATCAGCGGGTTAATTGACATATAACTTTTTATTACATAACCCTGTATAGATATAATAGCCCATCATATGAGCTGGCAAAAGTTTTCGAGTGGAAAGATAGAGCTTGAATCTGTGGTTATCTAAAGCGGCCGGCACACACTAGCTAATCGCGACGATTCTATCGCGCGAGTCGAGTGTACCCACGGAGCGATTATGAATCAAATCCGGGCGACTAAATCGCAGTGGAACATGCCTAGTCGTGATGCATGTGCACGTATACGAGCGTACGCTGCGTTGGCCTGTGCGTGCGTGAGGTTTGCCCACGTTACGACTGCGGCATTCATGCGGTGCGTGTGGCTCGTGGTTATAGTGCGTGGTGCACGTAGAGTAGGCGTGCGTACACAGTGCGTGTCATTGTGCTGCTGTGCACGTTACACGTGGCGCGCCGGTTGCGTCGTGTACTCGTAAATCGCTGTGCAAGTACACGTGGCGTTGCCGATGCGTGACATGTGTACACGTACGTGCGTGCATGGTGCTGCGTGTGCACGTACACGATTAGCGCGCCCGGCTGTGATAACCTGCCCACGGTGCGTGTGCGTGACGTGACTGTACTATACACACGTGTCGCGCGTCTACTGTGGGCGTGTGCGTGGGTGAAGTTACACGGTGGCGTGCGTGCGTGCGTGTGGTACGTACATTGCGTGTCGTTTCCGTGCGTGCGTTGGGGCGTGTGACTTAACCACAGTGCCTCTGTAATGTGCGTGCGTGCGTGTCTCGATGGTGCGTAAGTCCATAGTCTTAGGCGTAGTGTGCGTGCGTGTCTCGTGTGGAACGGTATACGTGCGTGGCATGGTTGCTGCTTGTGATGCACTGCTACACGTGCGGCACGCGTGCGGGGCGTGCGTGCACTGTGCTGCCGTGTGCACGTACACGTCGCGCGCGGTGCGTGCGTGCGTGCGTGGGCGTGTGTAGTATCACGTGCGCGCTGTGCCGTGCGGGGCGCTGCTGTGGTGACGTACCTGTGCGTTCGTGGCGTGTGTCCTATACACGTGGCGCGTCAATGGCATGCGTGCCCGTGCGTGCGTGCGTCTGCGTGGCGTCGGTGCGTGCGTGCGTGTGAACGATCTACGTGCCTGCGGCCGTGCGGTGGTATACGATGCGATGCACTGTGTAGCCGTTGTGTCTCACCTCACGTGCGCGACGTGATACGCGTGTGCCAAGTACACGTGCCGTGCCGTGACGTGCGTGGTGTAGTACACGTTCGTTCGTGGCGTGCTGCGTGCCGTGTGGCACTTTCACCGTGCGTACATGCGCTGCGTGCGCGCGTGGGGTGCGTGTGCAGCATAGCACGTGAGTGCGTGCGTGTGCCAGTACACCGTGCGTGCGAGGTCGTTATGCACATTATATGTGGGTGCGGGCGTGCTGCGACGTTCACTGGTGCGATCGCGTGCCCGTGCGTGCGTGTGTTGCGTCGCGTGTGCACTAGCTGCGTTCGTTGCCGGTGGTGCGTGCCGTGCTGTGCGTGTGCAGTACACGTGTGTGCATGTGGCGTGCGTGCGTGTGTACGTGTGGAGGTACACGTTGCGTGCATCGTGTGCGGCGTGCGTCCGGTAGCGTGGTGTGTTGCAGACAGCGTGCGTGCGTGCGTGCATGCATGTGCACGTAGACGTGCGTGCGTGCATGTGTGCGTGCGTGCGTGCGTGCATCGCTATTACATGACATGACATACTAAACATGAAACATCGCTATTACGTCAGTATCATTGAACAACTCTGATTGGCTGATGAATTGTACAATCGAGCAATTTTATTGCCGGCCCCGGACACACTTAGGCAATTAAATCGAGCGACTAAATCGGGCGACTAAATCGCCCGATAATATCAAAACGTTTGGATCTATGCGATTAAATCGGGCAACGAAATCGGGCGACTAAATTGGCGGCGATTGAGTGGACACACTAGGCGATTTCACCGGCGATTTAGTCGCTCGATTTAGTCACCCGATTTAATTGCCTAGTGTGTCCGGCCCTTAACATGAATAAAGTGTATGTTGTGTATGCGACGATTCATTTCTGTTCGATGCTTATTCAGGGCTGCTGCCCATAACTGACGCCTGACGCCTAAGGCCTTCTACTGCTGTACAACACCTAAACGGATTAACGCTCATATATAGCTACCAGGGGTTAATAATGACAAATTGTCAATTTGTCATCAGTAACCCCTGGTAGCTACGACCGGGCTCCGACAAACGGCTACGTTCATAGCGAACCCTGCAACCTATCATATCATTACTACCTCATCACTGTCACAACACTTACACACAATGACAACATAACGCGATTCAAGTAACGCAACATTACCAGACGCACAGGCAAAATGTCACTTGGACCTCACGTCTATAGTTGCATATGTGAGAAGGAACAGACGCCTGGCTATCTGGCGTCTGCTTGTCTGTTACTAACAGCCGCACATACACCAGGCACGCGAATCGCTCGATATTTTATAATCAGTTACCAGTTTCGCTTCACCAATCGATGATCGAATCTAATCAAGGACACTGAATATTCAGCTGGCACATGTATCGTTTAATTTCACCTGAACTACAACTGCGAAAGGTTTGTAACAACATCGTTCTAGCGTTCGCTGAGTACATTTCCGATTCATCCTCCAATGACACTCAACATAAGTCATGACAGAGCATTCTCAATTTGATTATAAAGCATAAAATTTTATGAATTACTGATTACATACAAGAGAGGGAGAGAAAGAGGATGAGAGAGAGGGGGAAGAGACAGACAGACAGACAGACAGACAAATAGAAAGGAAGGAGAAGATAAGATGTGATGATTATAATGGATCATCGGGACATACGTGCACTAACACACACGTGCGCACGCTCACGCATGCACGCACACACACGCACACATCACACTCACCTTGTGGATGCTAACACCAAGACTTGCGAGGACACACAGGCAGTCAAAGTCAACTTTTCTGCTGTAGGTTTGTCCACACACCTTGTACACCCTCAGATAATAGAGAGTGCATACACAATTAGAAACAAACATAAGTATCACATGCATCCACACAATTTTTACTGTGTGGATGTTTTCCCACTTGATGCATAGCACCTAGTGGCATTCTTTTTTTAACAGCAAGTCGCAGAGAGAGTCGCAGCTCGCAGTGAAATCTAGTTAGATTTTCGGTAAAATACTAGATTTTCACCGCTTAATATCCCAGTGTAGGGACAACGTAGGAACAAGCGGTTGGTTTTATATTATCAAGGAAGGACAGCTGAATAATAATACTGCAAAGAATTGTCAAAATAAAACGGGTAAAGTTTACTAATTTCACTGAAACTACAACATGGTTTTTGCATTTCACTGTTGTAGGAGGCATACAACAGTAAGCCTCCGCAAATTGTTCACCGTTGCACAATTTCGTCTCTAGGAAAAACCTTTTTTGGAATTTTTTTCCGCCGATATTCGGCACTAGAGTGCAATATTATCCTCGTTTCACTCTTTTGTGGCACTCCTAACACTAACAGTATCAAAATATCTTAGGTTTGTTGGTTGCAATTCACCATAACCCTCGTTCTAACACTGCGCCTAACCGCATGGAGCGAACATTAATTTCCATTGATTTCTGTGTTTTGATGGCTCATTTCAGAGAGTCATATCTCAGCTCCTGGATTCATACCAATTTTGAAATTAGGTGGCCATATAAGGAAAAGGCTCTAAGTTATTCATCTAAAATTCCATCAAAAATGCGTTTCTCCGCTCATTAAGGAGGCATACAACAGTAAGCCTCCGCAAATTGTTCACCGTTGCACTATTTCGTCTCTAGAAAAGGCCTTTTTTGGCATTTTTTTTTTACAGAAATTCGGCACTAGAGTGCAATAATTTGCATTATGCACGCAAGTTAGATGCCTCGTGGACGTCTAGAAAGCATTAGAAGTAAAATTGGTATTGTTGTGTATTCGTGACATTCTGTCAGGTGGCGTAGCCACAGCAACCGGTTGGTCATTTTTGTGTTTGAAATGTGTTCAGACAACTTTGCAGAAATTCGCATCATAGAGCTGGCAAAAGTTTCGAGCGGAGCATAGAGCATGAATCTGTAGTTATTTAACATGAGTAAAGTGTATGTTGTGTAAGCGAAGTAACAGTGTGAGTATTTTTAATTAATTTCTGTTCGGTGCTTATCAGGCCTGCCGCCTATGGACGCCCTCTACTGTAGTTCACCACCTTATTATGCTATTAGGACTAACATGAGCTCTGAGCGCCACCTAGCGACATATTTTTCAAACAATTGTAGGTACTTACTTTTTAAAACCAGCCATTTCGGCAACAAGTCGATCTAGCATTTCGACCTGCGGGTAAACAACAAACATAAACATCAATAAACATTCACAGCGTGGGTCCTGGTAAACTGGTAACATCACTCCTACTGCCACAGCCTCCTGCAAACACCCGATAACATCATCAAGGAATAACCAACGACAATCAATGTCATTACCACTTAGATATGCCGTGCTAAGACACTAGCAGATGAAACCTCAACGGAGTCTATAACCGATAGTTGCCATTATCACTTACATCTGCCTAGAGAGGAGCAAGCTAATGGATCTTATATAAACCAATCATGCTACTATTGGATTTGCCAGCAGGAGATTTGAGCAGACAATACCTTGTCGGAGTTATTGTCGAATAGTGCCATGAAGCTGGCTTGGGTGCCGGTGGTTCCCTTCACGCCCCTAAGCCTCAGCTCGTGCTTTACTCTCTCCATGTTGTGCAGATCCATGAGCATGTCAGAGATCCACAGGCAGGATCGCTTACCCACCGTGGTCAGCTGTGCCGGCCTGCAACCCAACCAAGGTCAGTCATCGGTCATACCCGCTCACACAGGTGCACGACATACTTTTTGTGTCACTTGCCCTTCAGGCAAGTACTCTGTAAAATGTACATGCCCGAATGACATTATAGTTGTCCATATATTTTGCAGGAATATTTTTGGAATGTCGAGTAAACAAGTGTACAACAGATAACTTCGTTTTCGGCGTTAACATTTCGTGATTTTAAATTTAAAACATTTAGTTTATGGCCAGTTGCATCATAGTTTATGCGTTTTTAAAGCAGGAGACCGTCGGGCAAGTGAGCTTGCAATGTTTACATGCCCGCCGAGATTTCTAGATGTCTCAGGCGTCGGATGCCCGGCTAATTTCGAAGACTGCAGGTGTAAGCTAGTTAGTTTACCCAGGCTGGAACATTAGCTCAGTGAGGCCATAATAAAAATATTGTTTGTTTGCCCTCACCCGACCGACCCGCCAAAAAGGGGCCGACTCAAAAGATTTTATTGATCTCTCCCATTTTTTTTTTTACAAATTGTATCACTGTACATTTCTCTGTAGGCAATACATTATATGTACCAAGCAAAACAAACATTAAACATAAAAGGTATCTCCACACAAGCATACCCGAGCATGTAGACACCATGCTGAATTTGTAAAAAGAGTTTAAAAGACCCCCTCAAAAAAAGCCTATACCAAACTTTTCAGCCTGGGTCAGGTGGGGCAAACAAATATTTTTTTAATTGTGGCCCGAGTTGTTCGTTACTGACTCAACATGATGCAGATAACCGGGAGAAAAATTCCAACCGCTAACATGTCACTTTAGCTACAATCTAAACGACAACTGTTACACGGCTGTCATCAGAATGAGTTAGGAAATAGTCGTTTCACTCGGCAGCGGCAATGCACTCACTGCAGGTGTGTGTGGCCTAAAGTTGGCAGGTCCTTATGCAGCTCTGCAAACTTCGACAGACGATGGATGCAGCGCGCGACCTGTGAAGACAGAAGAGCGTGCATCATCAAGTGTCGGGGAATCGAAGCAAAACCAGAGCAGGGTGTGAAATTAACGGGAGTCCGGAGTCAAATACTCTCTGATTTACTGCCGGACTCCCTGATTTGACATATGCAGGAGTCCGTGTGACTCCCTGAAAATTCTGCCATACTAACTAGTTCGTTCAGAGCACGGCCTCACAGAATTACCATATTTTTTCAGGTAATCCCCAAAGGAAATTTGGCAGACGTGCAACTGCATGAATCTTAAAAATAAGCACATGCGTTATTGTTAATATCTTTTTAATTTTAAACCTCCGACTGCGGACTCCCTCATTTTGCTGCGGACTCCCTCTTTTTAAGGGTAGGGAGTCCGTTGGACTCCCGTGTTCAAAAGTTAATTTCTACCCCTGCAGAGGTTGAGGACATGACAAAATAGTAGCACAAGCAAGACGACACGATGGCAACACGGGAGGTGACAATGTGGTGACAACATTGCAGCATGACAAGTAACGTGATGACAACATAGTAGCGTGAGGTGACATAGTATGTGAAGACAAAGTTGCAGCATGAGAGGTGACAATGCGAAATTAAGGTAGCAGAAGGAAAGGTGACAATGTAACAACAGCATGATAGCAGGAGAGGTGACAATGTGACAGTAGCACAGCATCATGAAAGTTGACAATGTGACATTAAGATAGCAGAAGGAAATGTGGCACCGTAACTAGAGCATGACAACCTGAGAAGTGACAATGTGACACCAAGGCATCAGAAGGAATGGTGATATAATGTAACAAAAGCATGGGAGCAGGAGAGGTGACAATGTGACAATAGCACAGCAGCATGAAAGTTGACAATGTGATGACAGCATAGCAGTATGAGATGTGACATTGTGACAAGAACTCAGCCGCATGAAAGGTGATGTGACATTAAGGTAGCAGAAGGAAATGTGACATCGTGACTAGAGCATGACAGCCTGAGAAGTGACAATGTGCCACCAATGAGGCAGAAGAAATGGTGATAATGTAACTAGAGCATGGGAGAAGGAGAGGTGACAATGTGACAATAGCACAGCAGCATGAAAGTTGACAATGTGATGACAGCATAGCAGCATGAGATGTACCATTGTGATAACAGCATAGCAGCATGAAATGTGACATTGTGATAACAGCATAGCAGCATGAAATGTGACATTGTGATAACAGCATAGCAGCATGAGATGTGACAGTGTGACAACAGTATAGCAGCACGAGTGGTGACAACAAAACAGCAAAAGGAGATGAGACAATGTGACACTAACGTAGTAGAATGAAAGATGAAATGTGACACCAACACAATAGAAGAAAATGTTATAATACGACAATAGCATAGCAGCATAGGAGGTGACAATGTGACATCGACATAACAGTATGTGAGGTGACAATGTGCAAACATGATAGAGGTGCAAATGCAATATGATAGATGCATAGTTTATTGCATAGTTAACATGGCAAATTCGTAACGTTGTAAATTCTAGAGCAACAACCTGGGCATCACTGCTAAAACATTCTCCTTCATATACAACAGCTTATATAATTAAGTGTATCGCGGCATGTGTGGCATGCACTTACAAATTATTGCGCTGCGCAAATTTACCATCCGCGCTGCACGTACCTTTGGGATAAGAATCATGAAAGCATCCCTCATGACGATCAAATCCTGCAAGAACGAATGAGGATCGCTAATGAACCAACTGTATGTAACGACACAGACGACCTCGCATCGTACGATCACACAACGGCAAACATAGGCGCAGACACGGTGGAACCAGGGGCGTGTACAGGATTTGTACCAGGGGCGTGTACAGGATTTGTACCAGGGGCGTGTACAGGATTTGTACCAGGGGCGTGTACAGGATTTGTACCAGGGGGGGTCTAACCGTAACACAAACTTGCGAGCACGCGAAGGGGGGGGCCCTTCCCCAGAAATTTTTTGAAATTAGACCCCCTTAGATGCGTTTTCTGCGCGAGCAGGGGGAGAGGGGGGGTCCGAACCCCCTGGACCCCCCCTCCCCTCCTGTACACGCCCCTGGGAACACTTTCACACTCACTGTTCACGCTGTGACTAAGAAAAGTGTAACTTGTGGAGAGATGAAAAATAATTGAAGCACCATACCTATTAACTTAGCCACCCTACCTATATATAGGGCTCTCTCTAGATGTTTTAAAGTTTGAGCCAAGACTTAAGCTACCAACGTTATATTTTAGCCACCAATGAAAAACAATATCCACTGTTTCTTTATCATATGTGCTAAGCAAGGCATAAACAGGTGATGGGTACATGGGAAAAGAGGTGTACGAAGACATTTTTAATAAAGTAATCAAGTAAAAATAAAATAATGTAGTTTAGTCTGCACAAGACTAGATTGTTTGATTTAAAGGTAAGTTTAAAATATGACCAGGTTGCGAAATTTGTTAGTACGACACTGCAATTTCAAAATTTTTTAATTGATTCACGTTTCAATTGGAATTGTGAGCAGGTAAATCATTCGACAATTGTATTCGTCAGTTAATGTAATAAAATTGCTACTGTTATTTATTTATCGCATTTTGCAAAGGTGGTAAACGCCAGCAGTAGCCCTGTATATATATATATATACATATTATACCATATATATATTTTAGACGTGTATTTTTTTCACACGCGTATATTTTAGCGTGTGAACGCTTAAATACGGAACTAAAATCCTCGTGTGAACGCAGCTTTAGACTGATGTAATCCAAACAATGAATAATGGCAGCGAGAGTTCTAGCTAGCTGGCTTCACAACTCCATATAAAATATACTGTAATACTATGTAATGACTTTTACATACAAACAAGTTATATGTGTGTGTACGCGCGCGCGTGTGTGTGTGTGTGCGTGTGCGTGTGCGTGTGTGTGTGTGCGCGCGCGTGCATGTGCGTGCATGTGCGTACGTGTTTGTATGTCTACATAATACCTGAAGGTGTGATGGAGGGTGACCATGTGGTGTCGTGTGTGCTGGTGGGGTATACACACTAGCCAGCGCCGACACGACACGTGCGCGTAGAGCCCAGCTAGCCTGACAATACGCGCCTACGCCGGCCGTGACACTCACCGGGTGGTACTCGTGGGAGCACGCGTTCGACTTTTTAAATTCAAACGCGCTGACAATAGGCGCCGAACAAGTAATAACTCCAATTACATCAAAACGCCATTAACGTGGGGGCACTATTGCTGTAGCTGAAATAATGCGGGGCAGGCGGATCAATATAGGGAAAGCTGAGAGTGGTTGGCACACTGGAGTAGAGACCGCAGCACTACACCTGCCAAGCTTGGGTTTGCCACAACGACCACGTATACCATACACGGGGGACTCTTATGTGCAGAAGATCGGGGGCACATCACCATATTGCGGTTTCAAGGAAATATGGAAAATGGACAGGCCGCTACATACTATTTAAACACATTTCCATGCGATATTTAAATAAGTTATTAACGCTTTTCTTTTGTGAGGGGTACAACTAGCGTCACGTTTAGCATAATTTTTGACTGAAATTAGAAATTAATTCCTCTACATGCAAACTCTCATTGTTCGATATTAATATGAAACAAATATATCTGCTGAGTGCTGACAGCTATACAATGGTATTAACACCTGATGGAATTCCCGGGGCTGCCTTCTAATGTGATTACGGAAGCTGTACAATTAAAGTTTATTTTCACACACTGTCACTGTGCGCTCAAGTTTTATAAATCAATAAAATGACAAAGTATAGCATTTTCAGTTTCAGTTAACATTTATGCTACATATAACCTTTTGGATTTAAACATTAGTTGAAGATTAATAACATAATATCAATTTTACTACAATCTCTTAAGCTCACAGACATAACATTTTAAAGCAAAACTATTATTATCACTGGGAAAAGTAATACTAGCATACTAACACCATTCATAATCAACAATGACAATTTAATTTTCAAATCAATTTTGTGTTTTGTAGTATCCGTGATTGATAAACAGCAGCAAAAAGTTCTTTTGTAATATGAAACTAAAATATACTATAATTAAAATTAGTAATGAAAGCTGGTGAAGAGCTTTTTTCTGATATTTGGGCTTTTCCATGAAATAAGTCTGCCTTATACAGCGGCGTTATGTTCCATCGGGAAGGGGGGGGGGCAAGAGGATAATCAATCAATCAATCCTGCCAAGTAACACAGTATAGATGTGGGAGTGGAAGTGTGGGGGTAGGCTATCATTATGTATCATGAAGAGTGTGTAATGGCAAAACACAGACAACTAATACAGGTATTTAGCTAATCAATAACCATGGCATGTGTTGCAGGTAACAGTCATCCTTTGAAATAAAGGAAGGTGTCAGAGATTATTTATGATTCACTGTTACCTATAATTCTGCATAGAAAAGCTACCGAAGTCTAGTGATTCAACTATGATAATAATATTTCATACACAATCTCAACACAAACTTGCCACCATGAACGAATAACGCTGGTCCCTATCCGTGAAGAGGATCACACCACAGGAGGCACATCACAACCTTTATCACTCCTTGGGGTGCTTCAGGTATAAAGTCGCTCCACATGGGTTCTTGGCCAGCGGCGACGGCTATAACCAACGCTTTGATGCTATAATTGCTGATTTCCCAGACAAGGTCAAGTGTGTGGACGACACATGCATGTGGTAAGAGTCTATCGAGTCAGCGTTCTTCCAAGCCTGTGATTGGTTCGACCTGTGCGCCCGCAATGGCATCACACTGAATCCGAAGAAGTTCCAGTTCGCGCAGGATACTACAGACTTTGCAGGCTTCACGATCACACCAAGCAATGTATGCCCGAGCCCCAAGTTTTTGGATCCTATCAGACACTTTCCCGTGCCCACTGACATCTCCGGCGCCAGAGGCTGGTTCGGCCTGGTTAATCAGGATGCCTACGCCTTCTCTACGATAAAGCAGATGCAGCCATTCCGTCACTTGCTGAAGCCCTCCGCACAATTCGCCAGGACAGAGGAGCTGGATAAGCTGTTCCAGCAGTCCAAGGAGGTCATTATCAACGAGATCAAAGAGGAAGTCCGCCTGTACGATCCTGACCGGGCAACATGTCTATCCACAGATTAGTCGGTGTACGGTGCCGGGTTCTTCTTGCTACAGAAATGGAGCCGAGCCGAGCTGGCCGTCAAAACTGTTAAGCGGATGATAGTAGACAAACTCAGCCCAACAGGATCCCTGGACGTAGACAAAGTCCAGAGGGCGATTCTCATGTACAGGAACACCATTGATCCCGAGAGAGAGCTTCTCCGGCAACGATTGTGTTTGGTAGACCAATTTGCGATGCCATACCGATTCCCAGGGGTCGGAACACCCCTCACGAGACCTGATGGGCCATCGCGAAACCGCTCTGGCCAAACGGCATTCCCGAGAACATGAGCGTTGGATTGAACACACCCACTGCCTACCCCCACTACATGTTGGTGCCAATGTGTACATACAGAATCTGGCAGGAAGCTACCCCAGGAGATGGGAACGCACTGGAACTGTGGTAGAGGTACGGCAACACCACCAGTATGTTGTCCGCGTGGACGGCTCAGGCAGAGTCACCCTTCGGAATCGACAGCACCTGCGGCAGTACACCCCATTCCATGGCACTCCAGCTCGGGGCATTGACGAGACGCATGGTCGGTTGTGCAGCCGTGTCAGGGCTCTTCCACTGTTCCCCCTGCGCCTCCACCCACAACACCAGTGGCAGGCCCCAGCGGGCCCTCAGGGACACAGCCCCCGTTCACCCCGGCTACTAGCATGCCACTTCCGTCGCCTGTACACGTGCCACAGCCATCACCCGCACGAGAACCACTCCCTAGCAGCCCACCCCTATCCCCGGTACATGCAGCACAGCCCACGCCCGCGCGAGAACCGCCTCCTAGCCTGCCACCACTGTCAGCGGTGCATGCGCCACAGCCCACAACCGTGCGGGAATCGCCTCGACCTGCTACTCTACGGCCTCTCAGATCGGACTCTTCGGGCTCACCGGCTACCCAGATGGACCAGTCCCACACGCTGTTGCCAGACTTCGTTCTCACAACAACCCAGGCACACAGGAGCTCATGGTGCCTCGTCGATCAGCTCGCAGAGGCAGGAATGGAGAATCTGCTGCACCGTGACACTGACTTTATTTGTTCAGTTTTATACGTACCCTTAAAACTTGTCCCTGTGGGGAGGAGATAGCTAATCAATAACCATGTCATGTGTTGCAGGTAACAGTTATCCTTTTCCAAAGTACTTCCATGGCTTGGATCCCATTTCGACATGGGGGAAGGGATCAAGTTACATTTTAGTTAGTTAGATTTAATTTGTGAAGTTGATCACAGGACCAGTGAATTCCGTGCCAGTCCAGAGCAAGGGACTATATATTGGTTAATGGACTGACTCGTATACCAACGGTCAGGACAGCAATGTTGTGTTTATCGAAATGTTATTACATGTATGTCTGTACACGTATATACGTCTGAACATGTATAACTTACAGCACTGCATGTAATCCACATTGAGCATTAGTATGTGGCATGTATCGCAGGACCCCGGTCCCGTGTAAAATTAGCAACAGATAATTAGCGCAGGGAGAAGCAGCGACATTGCACTGTTTGCTGCGCTATTCATAAGATCTGCCTGCATTGCAGATCTACTGCCAGGTATGCTGTCACTACAACTAATTCAAGTTGACAATAAAACTAGTAAGGCCAGACTTACAAGTATCATAAATGCAAAGGCAACATTTTTTGCCATTCACGTTGAATACGATCAGCAATGATCTTGATGCGAATGATTTAACCTATTTTTATTCAAACACCATGTTTTGTTTATATACTCACCAGCCTGCTTTAAGTTAACACTTTACTCTCTTAAATAGCTAAAGCAAGTACCAAAAGCTATGAACCTATAGAATTTTGCTGTGCCCACAACATTCTGTCTGGTTTTTTAAGCCATGTCAATTTACCGCAAATCTTGAATGTTTTACAGAAATAATCGAGTCCTGAGGAAAAGGTCCACTACAAAACCAAGGAATATCTTCAGGGTTTCTTCAGAGGAAAAATTAGACAAAGGATGTAATCGCCAGTTTGGGGAAAAAACGCGCATGATGGATTGAAAGGCGTGCCGTGCCGTAGGCATGCATGCAATAATATGCCAATCAATAAACGCATAAAACGGAACTCTATAAACACACATGGCAATCTAAATATGCCAGAAGCACGTGGTGATCTATTTATTTTTGGGTTGACACTATTCTGACAACGGCGGGTAAATACAGGAACATTTTCACAATGGCGATGTTAAATTTGACAACGGCGGTGCGCCACTGTGCCTCTTATGTATAAGAAACTCTGTATCTTGCAGAAACCTACTGTGTTGTCTCCAACGTAGGCTGATGTAGCTCCAAGGTGGATGATTGAAGCTGCTTTTGGGCAACACTTTGCAAATGTGTGAATGTGGGCCATGACATCATGCCTCCTCTTCTTCTCCTCCTCCATGGCTACCTCAAAGTCGATGTTTCTCAGGTTTGCCTCCATCTCTGCTATCTGCTCATCCTTTATGTCCAATCCAAGTGTCTGCAATGGAAAATGATTGTAAAAAAAACACTTTTTAAAAACTTCAAATTTCAGAAAAAAATCTTTTTATTTGTTGACATGCAGCTAACAATCATCTCCTATATGTATATATGTACTACGATGTAGAGCAGTGCCAGTGTGATTCACAATCAGAATGGGGCAACATAATCTTATAGTTATACATATATATAATGTAGTGACCCTAGGGGTGGCCGCAACTGAAGTGCTATGGTTAACACGTGTAATTTGTTTGATTTTGTAAGAGTTTTCGCTTCTACCGTAAAGGCAGATGCAGGTGATGCAGTAGCAAGAAAACCCCACAGTGAAATAATACCAAGTCCTTATATTTTCTTTATACAATTGATAACTTTATTTACCTTATATGAATAACATTGACTTAGCGTCTGTAAAATATAGCACAATATATATATATATATATATATATATATAGAATATACGTATGTAACGTTTACGTTGCTTATTTCAACTATATATATATATTTCTCGTAGCTATTCTCTATTCTAATGTCTTGTAGCCCTCGGCGTCGCGCCTCGTTGTCGCTCCTCGTCAGGTGCTGCCGCTGCTCGGCTCGTGTTGATAGAAGAGTGGCTCCTCGTACCGTCCGAGGCGGCGCTCCTCGTCAGGTGCTGCCGCTGCTCGGCTCGTGTTGATAGAAGAGTGGCTCCTCGTACCGTCCGAGGAAGCGCTCCTCAAATGTGTGGACGCGCGGTGCGGTCGATGTGTGATTAAGACTAGGGGTGTACCGGAACTTGGATCCGGCCGGAACTATCCGGCCAGATCACCAATTTTTCAGAGTTCCAGTTCCGGCTGGAACCCTTCCAAAACAGTCGGCCGGAACCGGAACTTTTTCCTAATTTCATTTCTGCTACAAGCGTCATAAAAATTAAAAGATTAGTGTCCCTCACTAAATGTAGTTGAGAGTCAATAGAGTGAACTTGCTGACAATATAGTGTTAACAACTTCACACTTTTCTGCTCAAAAAACGCTTGCCACTTGAACATTGGCTAACTAACTGAACTGAACCTAACGAATGTTAGGTGATTCATAAGATTTTCTTTCAAAATCAAATACTCTTAGAGCCACAGGAATCGCATCTGTCCGTTAGTTGAAAATAATGACTAAAACCAGGGATACTGCAACATGCAGGTTTTACCACAGAATTCGCTCGTGAATAAGATACCAGAATTATGCAAATTATGCACTGTAAGCAGCTGATTAATACACCTAACAGTAACTATACTACCCTGTAATTAGAACTTTGAGCATTGTCCTACTCGTCTAAGTGATGTGCCTGCTAATGATATTTTGTTCAGGGAACTTCAGGCCGAGTGAGTTTGCGCAATACTGGGCCCAAAACTGTCAAGTTTATTCCCAGCTAAAGTTCCGGTTCCGACCGGAACTTAAAAAGTTGGATCCGGTGCACCCCTAATTAAGACCCCCTGTATGATGTGGCATACCTTCAGGTCGGCTTTCCCCTTGCAATCAGCGATGCTCAACTGAGCTCGTAGGTGGCTTGTAGGTGATGCTTGCGACGTGGGTTGCTCTCCTGAGCTCGTGGCCAAAACAGACCAGAGTTCATGGGCGAGTCTCTGCGACGATGGCTGGCTCTTTCGGGCTCGTGGCTGAAAGCGCCCTCAGTGAATTGCTCTCTCGAGCTCGTGGCCAAAAACCGACGATCGATGTGTGTTGCTCTCTCAAGCTCGTGACCGAAAACCGACGATTCTACCGTCGGACTGTAGCTGCTTATATAGCAGCCTGCTGTGACATACGTAGGAGCCTGGCAGTACCACCCTGGCCTAACTCCTGCCCATGTGGCTCAGGTGCCTGGGCGGTGTCACCCATCCTTGTCCGGCACGTGCGCGGGTGATGCAGACCCCCTTCCATGCACTCGTCTCTGTTGCCGGGGAACTTCCTATCTCTCTTGCTAGGGAGCTTTCTATCTCTGTATTTATAACGTAGCTTACCTGTGGCTATATTGAAGTCGTGATGCTGTATGGCGTCAGCCCCAGGGCCGTACGCAGCAGGGGGGGCAGCAGGGGCAGTTGCCCCCCTAAAGATTTTCAGAGTATGCCTTTTAATGGGACAAATACTGTACACTTTTAGAAATAAAATAGAAATGTGATAAAAAAGGTTATCTTAAATCATCAAAGAAATATTACACTTTAAATAAAGAAATGTGAAATTGCGAAACTTTAGGGCACAGGGGGCATGGGGAGTACCTTTGCTCCCCTACAGAAAATTTCCTGCGTACGGCCTTGGTCAGCCCCCTGAAATCTCCACACTTACCAGGAACGTAGCTATAACCCATTTTCCTGGAGGGCAGAGCCACAGGTGGGTTATGTTCTGGAAAGGTGACCATCATTGACCATGTAACGTTTCTACATTTCTCAGGGGGGGGGGAGTACTGCCCCATTGCCCACCCCCTGCTAGTGCTATAATTACAGATCTCCAGAATGATTAAACTAATTTTGTAGGACGTGGATATTCGTCCGAGCATCAAACACCTGTTCGTATGCGCTATTCGTCCGAGCAGTTGTAAATTTTGTAAATCTTGTAATCTTGTAAGTTGTTCCTTGTAAATCTGTAATACGGCTTGACAGTATCACGCATGCACGCATGCACGCACGCACGCACAGACACACACACACACATATGTATATATATAATAACTAGACAGAGGGCACTCACGGAGAGTGCATACCTCCGCGAGCATGTAACATGTATGTGCTCGCTGGTGGCGGCTGCTGACTGACTCGCCTGCTGCTGCCTCGCCGCTCACTGGTGGCTGCTGCTGACTCGCCACTTGCTGACTCGATGCGCTATCGATCGCGCCGCCCGCTCGCTGACTCGACGCGATATCGATCGCGCGGTGGCTACACACACACACACACACACACACGCGAGCAATTGCATGACCTCCGTTTGCGCGGAGGTAAAAATAAGCACGGAAGCATCTGTGTAATAAGTGCCGTCGCTTACCTAAGATTGACAAGAATTCACAAATCAGCCAATAGATGGCGCTATGTGTCAACCGTGATCTATACACAGTTGTTCCGCCTTTATAAAATAAATGAAATGGTATTTTAATGGGATTATACTTTCAATTTTAAGGGCTTGTGCCCACTCGTAGTTTATCACGAGGTCTTTGTCACGATCTCTGTCCGAATCTCTCGCTAGACAGTCTGCAGCCGGATATACGCGCGAAGCGCGCAAACGCCGCGCAGCGGCGACANTCGCGGTTTTCCGCGTGGCCGATTGAATCATGCGATTGCAACATGGCGGTTGGCGGTTAGTTGAAGATTGTCCGCTTTGGCTTCTTGAAATTTACACTGGTGCCACAGCAAACTGAGGTATTAGTTTTAATAAGGCATACGCTGGAATACTAAAGGTGAAGGTTATATTTGATCAAAACAAGGCCAGAAATGCTTAGATGATCATTTTCTTTGAGATATACGTAAATTCGTTCGGTAGTTTTTGTACAGCTACAAGATTTTTAAATGGATGGATGTCAGGCGGCGGTGTATTGACGCTTTAGTCACGACAGCCTGGTCGGTTACGGTCATACGCCTGCTGAGCTTTGGCAAGCCACATCCACAACTTTCTCCAGTTTACAAACTTGTTCATCTCGCTAAAGTTATATGACATTTCAGGTGACGCATATCTTGCTGTTAGCGGTGACCTGTACTTCATGTATTCGAGCTCCGAGGCCATAACGAAAGATCTCTGAGCAGTAGACGAGGGATCACTACCTGACAAGGAGGCTGCCATCTTGCATGTGACCAACTTAAAAAGTTCGCGCCGGTCGCCAAGCCGAAATAGTGACGTCACATATCATCCTGTCGAATTGTGTGCTCTTTTACCACTAGATGGCGGTAAAGGTGGTTTGACTCACGGCCAATCATGTAGCAGAATATAATCAGAAGGCCAATCAAGATTCGCCTTACAACTCGCTGTAGGCTTGCCGCTTGTACAAGATCATGGTGATGTCTGTACTGTAGTGTTAATTTTCACAAACGTGTACTAGTGCAGTATTACTAGTGTTTTCATACTACTAATTGGCACCGAAAACATGGGGCGGCGGTCGATTAGCACCACGAAAAGTGGGAAGTTTATGAACCCTACTGATCAAGCTCGTAAGTAGCAGCACATCGCAAAAAATTGACATGCTGATTGCTGTCTGTACACTGTAACTCGCGCTCATAGGGTCTTATGTTCCCCAGGGTACT